CCCCAAAACCCCAAAACCCCAAAACCCCATTAAGTTTGCTTTTAACTGAAATAAAAAATAGCAATAAAATCAAATTCATTATTTATTATTTCTTTATTTCAGCATAGACCTTGTCATTACCCTTGATTATTTCATAGATTAATCCTCAGATTTAACTTCCTTTATTTTTATTTCATCTGACTCGTAATTCCAAACTTTAATTTAACATTAGAAGGAAGTCTAAGCGATTAAAGGCACTTCAGGATGCCAAGAGACATCTCTGGAACACATGTCTTCCTCATCAAAATATTCCTGGTCATATTGTTCATCGTTTAGGACCGTTGCTGTCTCCCCAGATAGTATATCGAAGATATGTACCTCACCATTACTCCCTCCACTTATTATATATCTTTGACCAGTAGTTTATTCAGGAGAAAATTAACACTTGATAAGTGTTCTCAGCACTTCATGGCCAGAAAAAGTCATTACTGATTTATCATCAGGATGTCTCTTTTAATCCAGAGGATTAGGCAAATAAAAATCATGCATTCTATAGTCAAAAGCAGTGTTTCTTTTAAACGGTCTGACCTTCAAAAAATTATTTGGAGTAATCATATATCTCAAGTCCCAGAGCTTTAACAGTTAATCTTTACCATTTGATGCTAAATAGTTACCGTCGTTTCTCCCAGCAACACAAGTAATCCCCTATGAATGACCGACAAATTTACCTACACATGATTTCCCGTCCTGCAATGTCCTCTGGTCCCACACCTTTAGAACACAGTCATCACTTGCTGAATAAAAAATGTTAGGATTGTAATGATGAGAAAAGCAGACACTATTTATATCCTCTTAGTGTGCTTTTTCTACCTTTTTGATAGTTCTATTTGACTCCAAATCGTAAAGTAGAAGCTAGCATCTATTGGATGAGGACAGAGTCTATTTCCCACAAGGGGAGAATTTCACCGACATCATTCCAAAAAATCTCCTCCTATTATTGTCTTCTTCATCAGTCACCACCCTTAAGGTCTCCTATCGCTTTCAAAAAGTTTCTAAGTCAACCAAATATATTTCTGTAGAGAATGTCGAGTAAACAAGAAATTGCTCATTCTTATCGACATCCATATCTAAGATAGTCCAAGAAATGTTATTAGGGCTATAGATGGTTTTTAGCTACCATTTGTTTGGGTCTGTTGTGTCATAAAGAATGAGCTCCTCCTAACTGGATGCATAATATAGATTACCCTTTTTAGTAAATCTGCCTCCATAAATTCTTGCAGTAATATCCTCTTCATAAGTTGTTGCCAGACTGTTTGGTAGTATATGTTAATAAAAATTTCTCTCATCTCTTCCTTCAAAATCGATATCAAACTATTATTTCCTCTTCTTAATTGCTAAATATTTTTTCGATTTAGACATTAAATTCTTGGTATTATTTCTGACAGAAGCGTTCATTACATCGAATTAGAATCCTTAATGATCTGCCACATCAAGTCTGATATTTAATTTAACTCATATCAGCTTACATTTCATGCTAGATTTATTTTTCATGATTTTTCCTCTCATCTTATTGAATTTCCATGTCCTCATCATCTTCTTGATCCTAGTTTCTTCTTTTCCCCAATGTCTTACCTCTTAGTGATGAACGTGTTCCTTACATTTTATATTTTGAATTTAGATTAAATTTAGGCTATTTCTCTCTACCAATAAAATCCTGATTGATGGGGTTTTGGGGTTTTGGGGTTTTGGGG